GGAGGAGTTGGTGGTATTTCTCCCACTGCTACCCACCATACTTGCTGCAGAGCAAGCACGGATGAGGCCTCACTCTGGGCTGTCTCTGAAACAGATGTGGAGTCTTTAATACCTTTTAATCAGACTATTAGCGATGGAAGCACAGCCTCTCAGTGGCAGCTTTCCCCCACTTAGGAGCTGTTTGTTAAGACTTTACATGAAGGGAAAACAAATGATACTGTGGTAATGTGGTGAATTTCAGCATGTTCCCTTAATGCTCTGCTCTGGGCTCTCCCTGGCTTCCCCTTCTCAAGACGCTCCCCTGAGATGCAGAGCAGTGGAAGGAGGGCAGGGCTAAAACTGCCCCACCCTTCCAAGCCTAGCACCCCACCCACACACACTGGAGCCCTGTCATGAGGAGGACGGTCCCAGAAGGGATGAGAGTGGGAATGAAAAGAAGAAGAGAAGGCAATCCAGACCCCAGAGCCAGGATGACCAAGTCCTGGTGGGCCCGTAGCTTCCCAGATGGGTCTTTAGTGTCCACCTCATGTAGACGGCCACACAGAGGCAGGATTGGGTGGAGGCTTGGTCTTAGCACTGTGGCCAGCTCAGTCAGCACAGTGAACAGAGAAGGCATGGAACTGGAAGGAGGGGCAGCAGCACAGCAGTTCTCACAGGCTTTCTCCTGGCAGCAGGCTGCCAGCCTTACTGCCTACTGGCTTCCAGAGCTAGGCTCTGATATCAGCCATCGCTCCTAGGGAAGAAAGAAACCAAAGGTCTCTTGAGCCCTAGCTCTGTGACAGCCAGGGTAGTAAGTGCTTTATATGTGTGTTGTTTAACTTTGCCGTACCCATCTACTAATCTTAAACCAGTGTATTTCAAACAAGCCATTAGGTCATGAAATGAATTTTGTGAGTCATGACCAGGATTTTTTAAAAAATAAAATGGAACAGAGCAAAGAATATCAGAATGCATTACACTAAGTATTGTTTTATGAAACTTCCTTTTCACTGTGTGTGTGTGTGTGGTAATATTCGGTAACTATAATTCCTAAAGACTGTAGAGCAGAAAACAGTCTCAATGACTACATTTATTATATTAAATTGAAGCTTGGAGAAATAAAGTAACTTGTTCAGGGACACACTGCCTCAGAAGTGACTGAGGCCATGGCTCCTTCCCAGCCCCCGCTGTGGACCTGTAGTTCCACCTGGGACACGGGCCTAGGGGAGTCTGAGGCTAGAAGGGGGCAGGTGGTCCCCAGCCCAGGAACAGAACCCAGGAGTCCTAATTCCAAGCTCAGTGTGCCCCCTGCCTGACATGGCCACACCTGCCTTTCAGGTGTTGCCTGAGCCTCACCTAGCCTGGCACAGGAAGCCTTCCTCAGGACCTGGACGGGAGGCTCCCAGAAGGCAGTGTCCATCTCTAATGCAGCTCAGAGATGAGCGCTCACAAGATGAAGTCCTCAGAGCTCCAAGGGGATGATGATGAATCCTCTCCCAGCCTCCTCACTGCCAGCTCATTCTCTGTCCACCCTACCCTCACCTCACCACCCCCCTTCGCCCCAGCCTAGCAGCTGCATGGTGACAGAAGCCGTGCCAGCTTGGGGCATTAGAAGCAAAGTTGCATTTACTGGGCGGCTCTGGGCTTAGAGAAGTGCACTAATCCCTTAAGAGATGTGTGGCAGGAGATGAGAGGCAGGAAAAGCTAGGGAGGAAATCCCCACGGGGGTGCAGGCCTGGCCCTCAGCTCTAATTCTCTCCAAAGATCAGGTTCAGGTCCTGCAGGAAATGCAGAGGCTCCAGAGCTTCAGAGGCAGAGAAGTGGTAATTAGGGGAGGATGCTTTTGACGGCAGCAACAGTTCTGAAAGCAAAGGGGAAGGGGATCAGCAGAGGCAGATAGGGAGGAAGCAGAGCTGTCCTCGGCTATCAAAGGAGGGAATGGGCCAGAGTGGGCTCTGCAAAGAGAATGCTGGGGCCGCTCTGAATTTCCATCCCTGCCAGACTCCCTGAGTGATGTCACATCCCTCTTTCCCAGAGAAACTAAGATCCCGTGGATCTGGATCTGTGCAGACTCCTCAGTAGGCACCTTCTCCCATCTGGAGCAGACTGCTGCCATCTCAGGGTAGCCAGACCCTAGGCCCTGGGCCTTCCTCCCACTCCCTGGGCGATGGCAGGGAGGGCAAGGGAGTTCTCTAGCCTAGTACTAGCCCTGGGGGCACCTCGGTGCATTCCTGAAACAACAAATGTCATCAAATCCTCTGCCTAAATGAGGTCTTAAAGCCTATGCTTAGCATCCTTTTTGAGAGTTAGAAATAGTGGAATGGAGCATGATGAGGGGTGAGTTCAGGCTGGGAACCTCCCTTGAGCTATCTATGTGGCAGTAACTGGGGCCCCAGCAGAGCCTACTCTTCCTGGAGTGCTTGCTTTCCCAGGCCCCAGGGAGGGGCAGGGACCCCATCCTGCAGATGCTACAGACACTAAGGCCTCCAGCAGACCTGGCACACTGTTCAGCTCTGCAGATGACAAGGCAAGGTCCTCAGCCCACAGCACTTGGGGAGGCCCAGCCTCCCAGTCTGGGGAAGGTCAGGCTTTGGGGTTGCTCATGGGTCGTTCTTTCCATGTCAGACTTTCAGGACCTGAGACCCTTCTGGCTTGCTATGCCAGATCTTCTCTTTTTTTCTTCCCACTACAGGATGCTCGCTCTATGGCAGCAGCTGCTGCATCCCTCGGGGGACCCCGAGCAAACACAGTCCTGGAGCGCGTGGAAGGTGCCCAGCAGCGGTGGAAGCTGCAGGTGCAGGAGCAGCGGAAGACAGTCTTCGATCGGCACAAGATGCTCAGCTAGATGGGCTCATATGGTTGGGTCAAGGCCTCAACACCATGGCTGCCAGCTTCCAGGCTGGACAAAGCGGGGGGCTGCTTCTCCCTTCCCTCGGTGCCAGTTTTCCCTTTAAGAGCCCGTGGCATTTTTCCTCCTCCTCCCTAACTTTAGAAATATTGTACTTGACTATTTTGATTAGGGAAGAGGGATGCTGTCTCCGATCTCTGTTGTCTCCTTGGGTCTTTGGGGTGGAAGGGAGGGGAAAGGCAGGCCCGAAGGGAATGCAGACATTTGAGGCGGCCTCAGGAGTGGATGCAGTCTGTCTCTCCTGGCTCCACTCTTGCCGCCTTCCAGCTCCGAGTCTTGGGAATGTTGTTACCCTTGGAAGATAAAGCTGGGTCTTCAGGAACTCAGTGTCTGGGAGGAAAGCATGGCCCAGCATTCAGCATGTGCTCCTTTCTGCAGTGGTTCTTATCACCACCTCCCTCTCAGCCCCAGCTCCAACCCTGAGGACAGCTCTGATGGGAGAGCTGGGCCCCCTGAGCCCACTGTGGTCTTCAGGACGCACCTGGAAGCTGGTGTTCCCTGTCCCCTGTGCACTTCTCCCACTGGGACATGGAGTGCCCTTGCATACTCTGCTGCCGGTCCCCTCACCCGCGCTTGAGGGGGCTGGGCAGTCCCTCCTCTCCCCAGTGTCCACAGTTGCTGAGCCAGATGGTTGGTTGGAACACGAGACTCGAGGCTGACCGTGGATCTGAACACCGCAGCCCCTGTCCTTGGGTCGCCTCTTGTCGCTGAACTTCGTTGTACCAGTGCATGGAGAGAAAATTTTGCCCTTCTCTTGTCTTAGAGTTGTGTGTAAATCAAGAAGCCATCATTAAATTGTTTTACTTCTCTCACTTGCTGGATTTTAAGAGATTTAGGGAACTAGGAATTTTTCACAAGTGACCTGGTAAATGTATCCCAGAGGGGACAGAGAGCATTGCGCTTGCTAGGTCCAGACAGGCAGAGCCTTGGGAAGTCCAGGTGGCTGTGGCAGAGCCAACCATAGTGCACTCAGGCCAAGGCCACGGCTTGCTGGAAGTCCTCCTCACCTGATGAGGAAAGAGGTGGGTAGGCTGGGGCAAGGAGCATGGTGAACCGGCCCTTGGGAGTTATCCTGAGATTTTACTTGCTTCATGTTTGTGGGCGATTCCTCTGAAACTGAACAGTGCCTGATTCATCCTAATATCCTACAGACACAGTAAATAGTGCTCCCTGCAAAACCCTGAAGTATCCCCAAATGAAAACCAATAGGTATCAGGAGAAGGGTGGGTGGGGGAAACCAGAAAACGAGCTGCCCTGTAGAAGAAAGTGCCAGCAGCTTCAACAGGGACATCCAGAGGAGCCTGGCACTGCGCCAGCTCCAGTCTGGATGTGTGGTGCAGGGCACGGCCAAGACCCAGGCAAGGCATCTAGAGGGACCGAGCTGATCTGGTGTCCCCAGGGTTGTCCAAATAAACATGGATTAAGAACCTTTGTGTGGGCCCCCATGCTGGGTTTTTGGAGAGGGGTAGGAGGCAAGAGAACAACGTGGGGTGGGGGGTCAGTTTGCAGTAGTTTGTTGAAGTTCAGGGACAGAAGCGTAAAGGGGATGGGACTAGGGTGACCTGCAGATGGGGCTCCCAGGAGGAGCAGAGACTGGTTGGCATTGGAAACAAGAGACCCAGGTGAGAGAGGACCAAGTGGATTGTGGGGTCCTGAGCAAGTCCACTTAAGAAGTTTGTGGTAGGGCTAGCAAAAGATAGATGTGCCCCCAAATGCAAGGCTGGGACGGGAGTTGGTACTGACAACATTTCTACTGGTTCATTTAGTTGGCAGCTACTCAGCGCCTACCAGGGCCAAGTACTGCTGTGGAAGCTGCAGTGGGCTTTTTTATTCTTTCAGGATGGGGATGCCCTTATTTCAAGAGGCACACAAAAGCAGTGCTTTCCAAAGGTGGGCAGGTGGGTGTATTAACTTACCAAGGATAACCAGGCCAGAAATTGGTGCCTAACATTGCCAGGTCTCCCCTGTAAAACCACATGCCCTGGGGGAAACCTTGAGTGCCACATTTCTCTGAGGCTTGGGTAAGTCCTGCAGATGGTCCAACCTGGCTTTGGTAGTTTTCAGGACAACTGCTGTTAACTATAAATAAACCGAACTATAAGTCCAGTATATGAACATTTATAAAAGATTAGGAGTGACTGTTCACTTTACTAAGGATTCAGCCAGTAACCAGACATCTCAATATGTCTCAACTTCACACACAAAACCCAATTTTCAGACGATGGCAGAGTACGCTTCATCTCTCTGTGAATATGAAAGGACGGAGGTCCCCAGCAAGGGGCGAGTGCACTGCTTGACTGGTATCTGGAACGGAGATGAAGACCCCTGCAGCCAATGACGGAAAAGATCAGAAATGACATTCTTCACCCCGTCTCATATGATGTAAAAGGAACAGAACTTGGCCGGGTGCGTTGCCTCACACCTATAATCCCAGCACTTTGGGAGGTCAAGATGGGCAGATCACAAGCTCAAGAGATCGAGACCATCCTGGCCAACATGGCGAAACCCCGTCTCTACAAAAAATACAGAAATTAGCTGGGTGCAGTGGCGCGTGTCTGTAGTCCCAGCTACTTGGGAGGCTGGGGCAGGAGACTCGCTTGAACCAGGGAGGTGGAGGTTGCAGTGAGCTGAGATTGTGCCACTGTACTCCAGCCTGGTGACAGAGCAAGACTCCGTCTCAAAAAAAAAAAAAAAAAAAAAAAAAAGGAACAGAACTTGGTGCTGTGTTCAGAAATCCTGTCTTCCCTCAAACCCAACAACCATGCTGTTCTGTAATAGATTGGTCCCACCTGGAAAAACAACTGGTTGGAGTTGGCCCTGGGAACCTGAGCCTTAGAATTGGTCTCCACAGTTAGAGGCCAGCACTCATCCCTCGTGTGGCTCAAAGGGAGGCTGATGGAGAGGCCAGCCTGCTTCCTCGTGGCCTTTCCTTCATTCCTCACCTAGCCCGACTCAGTCCTCCTCCTTCTCCTCTCATTTCCTGGCATCGCTGTTACGCATCTGCCAGCAAAACCCCAACCCCACCCAGCCTGACTTCCCTGCTCCTCCCTGGGCAGCCCAGTGCTGCCACAGAGGCTGAGGGTGCCCCGGCAGGTGCATGGCCTCCACCCCCTCCCTTCCCCCATGAGGGCCAATAATGCTCCCGTGAGGCTCACTCTTGAGGCCACTAGGCAACCTTCCTGTCTCCTCATCTCCCTCCCCTAGAAAATCTTGCCTATGACTTCAAGAAAATGGAGTGATCTCTTAACTCAGCCCCATTGTTAAATCATTCTTCATTCATACTCATCCTGACTGCCTTTGCTACAGTCTTGGGGATAGCGTGTTCCTGTTCAAAGCCAACCGCCCACCCCATACTGCATGGGATTCCCATCATTTCTCCAACCCCCAATACTGTCAGGGACCTCCATTTCTCCAATCCCCCCCTGCCCAGTACTGCCTGGGACCTCCATCATTTCTCCAACCTTACCCTATTTACTGGCCCTTCTCCTCAGCCTAGTTACATGCTGAAGTCTTTGTCCTAAGAACCCTCCAGGGGCTCCAGGTCCACCCCTGGCTACAGTGGAGTCTCCTCCCTGTCTCTGTGCACTCAGTCATTCACCCCCTGCCCCTGCCAGCTGACCTCGCCCTCCATGCTCCGCTGAAACTGCGCTCAGCAAGGTCACAGCGGGCTCTGGGAGCACCAGGCCCAGGGGGTGTCTTTGGTTCTTCTGGCCCTCTCTGCTATTTTGGTGGTGTTGATCCTCCCTCCATAACACTCGTCACTTGGCTTCTGGGACCTGGCCTCTTGGGCTTTTCTGACTGTCCCTTCCTGTCCCCATGAATGTTGGCTCCCCAGGCTTCCATGCTCAGCCTACTTGGCTCAATCTAAAATTTGATTTCTAAGTACTCTCTTTGGAAGTTTATTCTGTTTTGCAGTTTCATGGTGTTTATTCAAACATCTCTATCTCTAGCCCAGCCCTAACCAGCCCCGGAGCTGCAGACTTACGTATCTGGCTCCCAGTTGGACTGTGCCCCTGAGCACCCCAGAGCCAAGATTAAACTCATCTTTGTCCTGAAATTGGCTTATTTTATATGTAATATATAAAAATATGATATATATTTATATATAATATATAAATTATAATTTTATTATATATAATAGTGTTTAATATATATTTAATATATAAATTTATATATAAAAATATATTTATATATTATATATAAATGTATATTTTATACATTTATATAATATATTACATGTAATATTTATATATAATTTATATATATTTGTATATATTTATATACAAATATATAATACATATAAAATAAACCAGTTATATAGTATATAACAAAATATATATAATACATTATGTTACATATAATATTTATAATATACATTATATATAATATAAACTATATATATTTTTATATATATATATTTTTGAGACGGAATCTTGCTCTGTTGCCCTGGCTGGAGTGCAATGACATGATCTTGGTTCACTGCAACCTCCACCTCTCAGGTTCAAGCGATTCTCCTGCCTCAGCCTCCCAAGTAACTGGGACTACAGGCACGTGTCACCACACCTGGCTAATTTTTGTAGTTTTAGTAGAGACAGGGTCTCACCATGTTGGTCGGGCTGGTCTTGAACTCCTGATCTCAAGTGATCTGCCTGCCTTAGCCTCCCAAAGTGCTGGGATTACAAGTGTGAGCCACAGTGCCTGGCAGCTTCTTTTATATTCTTAACTGGTGGTACCACCACCCAACAAGTTGTTTAGGCCAGAAACCTGAAGGTCATCAATTCCTGATTCTTCTCTTGTACAATCACTCACAACATCCCACCAATTTTACCTCCAAATAGTCTTTAGATCTGTCCCCTCCCCGCAGCCCCTGTTACCACTGCCCCAGTCCATGCCTCCCCATTTCTCACCAGATACTGCAGTTCTTGTCAGGAGTGCCAGAGAGTATGTTTTTAATCAGACCAGGTCACTTCTCTCCTTCAGAGCCATCGGGGCTCCCCATTTCCTAAGGCATGAGTTATTTATTGAGACCTGTAGGGCCTCGAGGCCTCGGTCTGTCTGCTCCTCTGGCCTTTAGCCCCAGAACCAATTGGCAGGAGTCTTGGAAGTGAGGGAGTTGGAAAGACCCTCCAGGTGTCTACTCACCTAGGTGGGTGTCAGGTCTTGAGTACGAGGAAGGCAGCGAATCCCAGACTGCCCCATGAGGCTCTGTGTCCTGGGTAGGAGCTGCCTCATCTCCCCACTGGCTCCCACAGCTCAGACCCTGCCCTAGGGGATGAGGCGGGAGCTGAGCTTGAAGAAGGGATGGAAAGGGTAGAGGGGGGATGCCCCAAGCCTACATTTACTGTCTAACACTGGAGCATGTATTTCCCAGTGCACAGGCAGTGCCTGTGTGGCTGCATGGAGTCAGTAGGTGCTGTGGACAGAGTGTGGTCTGAAAGCTGGAAGCTACCTGGGTTCTCAACCCAGTTCTTCCCCTTAGCAATGCCTGAACCCCTTTGAGCTGGTTTCCTCATCTCTAATAATACCAGGCCTCAGGGCCTAGCCTGTAGTAAATCCTCAACAAATGAGGCACTGGGGCCTAAAGCTCCCTAAAAGACCCATCTTCCACCTAGTAAAATAAGTGGCGTGGCTAAGAGCACGAACACTGAGCCCAGTACCCTGGGCATAAATCCTAACTGCCACTTACTAGCTAGGCAGCTTAGAATAAATATTCAAACTCCATATGTCTCTGTTTCCTCACTGCAAAATGAAGCTACAACTACTGACTGTGTTGGGTTGTTGGAGGGAGTGCGTCGTGAATGTGTGTAAAGCACTTAGAACGGTTCTGCAGTGTAAGCACTCAGCAAGTGTCGGCTGTTCTTGGTCATGTCACTATTATTACTATCACCACATAACCTGCAGCCATCAAGTCAAGGTTCTGCAGTTTCAACAGGGACTTCCTACTCAGTGTTACCAGGGGACATTTAGGCTCCAGAAAACCCTGACCCCTCAGCTAGATCCCACACTTGTTGAGGTTCAACTCCACGCTTCCAGGTGGGACAATTTCTCCTCCGTCTCCCCTGCCCCCAGGCTTGGAACTGAGCACGGAGCCAAGGCTGCAGGCAGGGCTGGCTCTGAGGGTGCCTGAGCTCTTGAAGGTTTGGGGACTCCTCTGATTCCTGCCTCCAGGTGGACACGGAGGCCAAGCCTCCAGGCTGGGAGTTGGGACCCCTGACCCTGGCTCTGCTGCTATTCGCTGTGTGACCTTGGGCAGGGTGGCCTCCTCTCTGAGCCTCAGCCTCTCCAGATATCCTCTCCAGATAGAGCACGTTAAACTAGCCCGTGGTCTTGCAAAGCATGGTGTACACAGGTGAGGTGATTTTAGGTGGTGCCCAGAAGAACACTTTTTACTGTAGTAGCTATGTAATTACGTTAATGTGTATTAGAAAAAAACATAATTGGCACATCCACCTCACAATTTTGTGGATATTAATGCTAAGGACAAGCAGAAAGGGGCCAGGGAGTGAGCATATATAAAGAAAATCATTAGGAAAACAGCGAGTACAAATGGTGCTATAAATGGCAGAAACCGTGGAGGCAGCTGTGTGCTGACGATGCCAGTTTGGGCGCCCTGAACCAATCACTTTCTAAGGGACCTTCAGATCCTGCATCTGTACACTACAGAATCTCTAGATGTCACTCTGCCTGTTGACCGACTGGGGCTGAAAAGCATGAAGAGAGGGTTTGCCCAAGGCTCTGCTGCTGCAGCAGTGAGAGCGCAGCTCAGACCAGGTCCCGAATGGATCCACACTGGGAAAGACACTGTGGTGCAGTGGCCGGGAGTGTCGACCCCGGAGCCAGACCATGAGGGTTCATGCCCAGCACTGACTCTTCCTAGCTGTGTGACCTTGGGCAAATCCATCTGTCTCCATTTCCCCAGCTAAAACATGGGAATAGTAACTTCTCTCAGGGGGTGTGGGGAGGGATAAGTGTGTGTGTGTGAGTGCGTGGAGAGCAGGGCCTGACGTGTAGTGAGTGCTCAGTGGCTGTGGTTGTCTGTCATTCCTAATACGTGTCTGTGTGGCGGAAAGGAGGGCCTCCTCGCTGCTACCAAGAGAGGTCCCTGTTGGTACCTCAGCCCAGCCCCTAGGCTTTTTCTGTCTGCAGAGAAACAGAGTTCGACGTGGAGTGAGGGTGGGAGGGTGGGAGGGTGGGGAAGCAGAAGCTAGAACGCAGGTCTCCCAGCTCCCAGCACAGGCCTCCTCCCTAGAGCCGCAGGCCTCACCACACAGAGCTGGGCCTTCACCTTGCCGGAGGCTCATCTAGTGGGCCGCGTATCCCTGGACACACCTCTTTCCTCTCTGGGTGCCACTTTCCTCAGCTGGCCACTGGGGAGGATAGCCTTGGTGACCTCCACGGGCCCCTCCAGCTCTGGCTTCAGGCAGCTCTGTGCATGTGCAGTGCAGTTCCCCTGCAGTCCCTGCAGAGGCTGGCTGCACAAGTGCCCCCCTCCCCCAGCCCTGCACTGTGTCTCTGGAGAGCCACTGCAGCCCTCCTAGTCCTCGGTTCAACCCCTGGAGTGGCCAGTGATCACCTGACCGTCCCCACCCCCAAGCTGGTATCATTAAAGCCACTCCAGAGAGAGTGTTGTCTTCTCCTGACCATAAGGACTGCCCCCATAAAAAGAGACTCCCTGAGTGTTCCTGGTCTCTTGCCCTTCACGCTCAGGACGCATTTCCTACGCGCTAATTCAAGTCCCTCCTGCTGCACAGACTTCCATCCAGAGGCTATCTGAGGCTCCCTGGCAGCTGGGCCAGATGTGTCACCCTCCCTTGGCTCTCAGCAGGGCAGCGCCCTGGACAGCATCCCCATTCCTCCTACGCTCCAGCCCAGAGCTGCATGTCGCTTGCCCAGACTCAGGGCAGCCAATCACAGGAGGCCAGGACTGGCCCTCTCTCCTCCTTGGGAGCTGATCCCAGATCAGAGGAGCCCCCACCCCCTGCCGCCCCTCCTCCCTCCCCTTCTGGGTGTGTTGCCGTTTGAAGCTGAATCAGGTAAAGTGTACCTGGCTCCTGGTGCCGTGGCAGGAAAGCCCGGCCAGAGGCTGCTGAAGGTGCTGCTGGGCAGGCGGGCAGCTCCGGAGATTCCGCAGTTCCCCCAGGAGGTTCAAGAGCCACTGATCAGGAACGGCGCTGCTGGAGGAACAAACCCAGAGAGGTAACCGTGCGAAGGTGGTGGCTGAGGGATGTGCCCGAGTTTGATCCTGAAATAGTGATGGCCCCACCCGGCCTGGAGGAGGGAGGCCAGGAATACTGTTTACTCAGGGCTTAGTCACCTCGATGGCTTTCCTACCCAAAGGAAAGGAAAACAGAGCCAAGCCACCTGCTGGCTGGGGTTATGCACCCACCAGTGCGGGGAGAAGGCGAGACCAGCTGTGCTGCCAAGGCCATTGCTACTGAGCGGGCATTTTCCCAGGGACTTGCTCGATGTGAAGGGTCTAGGCAGGAGGAGAGCTGGGCCTGGGTCTGAACTTGGGAGCAGGCTCAGGAGGTGCAGAGCAGTAGTGAGGGGACTGGCCACGGGAGAGATTGCCCAGGCTCAACCCCAGCTCCATTACTTAGTTGTTGTGGGACCACAGGCCATTTGCATATCTAGGTCTCTGTCCCTTCACTTGTTAAGTGAGTTAATAATAGTATCTGGCTCACAGCAGTGTGTGAGAATCAAATGGGTAAAGTGCTTAGACTAGTACTTGGCATAGAATAAATGTTATATAAATATTTTTGTTGTTTTTAATCCTGCCATTTACTAAAAATATGATCCCCCTTAAACTCACTTAAGCTCGCTGAGCCTCAGTTTCCCCATCCATAAAATGGGAGTAGAAAGTTATTTAAGGGAGGGCGGGGCACAGTGGCTCATGCCTGTAATCTCAGCCAGTCAGGAGGCTGAGGCGGGAGGATCACTTGAAGCCAGAAGTTCGATTCTGTCTCTACAAAAAAAATTTTAACAACCCAGCATGAGGGTGCATAGCTGTAATCAGGAGGCTGAGGCAGGAGGATTACTGGAACCCAGGAGTTCAAGTTTACAGTGAGCTATGATCGTCCCACTGCACTCCAGCCGGCATGACAAGGTGAGATCCTGTTTCTTTAAAAAAAAAAAAAAAAAAAAAGGGAAAATAAAAGAAAATTAACTTTAAAAAGAGCTAAGGGAACTTGAAGAGATTAAATCAATAAATTGCTAGCACATGGTAAGGTGCCTAGCAAATAACAGTCTCCTTCCCCTATGGTGTGAGCCAAGGTTCTGTCCCCATTAGAACACAACATTTCCTCCCACTCAGTGCCTGTGCTTTTTATCCTGCTCCCAGAGGAGGCAGTTTGGATGGATGAGTTTTGTATTTTAAGGCTCAGACCTCTGCATCGCTGCTCTACCACAGACATTAAATGAAGGTGACACGGCATGTGAGACCACCTGCTTTGCTAGAATAGTCATGGACTGGTGACACTCACCTGTGCCCATTCAATTGCCATTTATCCAGCAGCCATTCAATTACCCCTCCACATCAGGTACTTCTTGGACACCTCCTGTATGTCAGGGGCAGGGCTGGACCCACAAGAAACAGAGGGGGCGTGAGGTTCCTGCCCTTCAAGGAACTTCTGCTCTTTGAAAGAGCAAGACACAAATGCACAGCAAGGTGAAGAGCAAGGCGAGAGCACACCAACCAACTCTGACCACTGACAGCCAACACGCCAAGGCTTTAGGATTCAGGGAGGAGAAGGAGCAGAAACAGGAGAGGGTAGCAAAGTTCTGTGGACAAAGAAAGACCCAAATGGGTTCCAGAAGTAGGAGTAGGAGTTGGATGAGTAGAAAGGCAAGGGGCTGATTCTCCCGGAAAGGAGCAACTCTGTGAACATGGGCTTAGAGGGGAGAACGCAGAGGCTGCTTGAGAGAAGAGAAAGAGCTGTGTTCATGCTGAAGCTGAGGGCTGATGTGGGGATATGGGGGAAGAGAAGGTTGGAGAGAAGGATGGCAGACTGCTGGGAACCTAGATGCCAGGCCTGGGAGTGTGAGCAGCTGTTGATTACTGAGCACTTCCCAGCCACGAAGCCGCCAAGGTGTTTTCATGCACGATCTTCTTGAACTTCGCAGTAACCTTAGGAAGTGAGTGCTGTTGCTCTCCCCAGCCTACAGAAGAGGAAATGAACAGGCTTGCTCAAGGTCATATAGTTGGGAAGTGGCAAAGCCAGGATTCTCACACACATCTGGCTGGCTCCAGAGTCCCTGGTCGTAAGCCAAGGTATGACAAGTTCAGAGAGCCCCAGTTCCCTCTAAAATACGGGTAATTGCATGCATGAGACAGGTTGGAGAATCCCAGTGACAGCCTGCACACAGAGGGAGCTGCAAGGGCCTCAGCCACCAGGAGGGGAACCTGGGATGGGGGCAGTGGAGAACCAGGGCCATGGTCTACCCTGGCCACAGGTCCTGGCTCTCCTGGCCTCGGTCCCTCCTGTGGAGTGGGGTCTGCAGACACCCACTTCACAAGGACACCCTGAGGCTCGAATGAGATCCAGAGTGTGAAGCATCACAAGTGCTGAACAATGTTAGTTCATGAATCTCCTTCCATCATTACGGGTGCCATCTCCCCTCCAGCCTTGCAGCTGCAGTCACTTCCCACCTACAAATTCTCTGGATCTATTAATATGATCTGGAGAGGCCACCAGGCCCATCTTCCTTGGGAACCCTCAAACTTTTGTTCTGTGGCCCCTAAGGGCTTTTCTCTCCCATGAAATACCCATCACCTACAAGGGAGACTCCTTTTTGTAGAGAAGGGAGTGAGAATCCTTTTTCCTCTGTTCCCCTGAGTTGGCAATAATATGGGCCCCAGGGCATGACTCTCTGCTTGAGGTCGGCACTGGAGCCTAGGGCAGGAGGGTTGGGGAGGAGACAGCCGTGATGATGGGTGGGTGACTCAGAGGGCAAAGTCTGGCAGGCAGCACCCTTGGGGGCAGCTTCCATGGTACCCACCCTTCCACCCCAGCCTCCCTGGCTTCCCAGCCTGTGAACCCAGCTCTGAGGTTGACTGTTCCTCATCAAGGGAGGCTCAGGCACAGCTTGAATTTCCAGGGTTCAAACTGATTTCCTCTGCAGAACTGCCTGGTTCATTCTGACCATGACTTCACTGTGTCTATAGGAGGCTTTTCCTTCCTCTTTGTCTTCTTTGAAATTAACATTGATTAATCATAAGCATTCAGAAACACTCTTGAGCACCTACTGTGTGCAACCAATGATGAGAACAGGAATCGTAGCAACTTGCATTTGCACAGCAGTATGAGTCACTTCAGCCAGAGAGAGCAAGTTAAATACTGGGTTCCTAGTCATAATTTTGGCCAGGGTCTCACCTTTCCCTTCTGCAACCCCAAAACCCATCCCCCAATAAGGTTGTTGGACTCCTCAGAAGGTATTTCTACTCCCCGAAAGGCAAAGCACGGAGCAGTTTTATCTGATGGTAAGATTTGTGCAGTCCCATTAGCACCTATTGGTGGCTTTGGGACAAGAGTCCAGGTGTCGGGCTTCTGAGCCATAGACTCTTCCTCCTCCCCTTGGGTGGGGTGGGGTAGTAGGAGTAATGTAGGGAATGGACTTTCTTCTGAATCTGAGTCTTATTCTTCTGGGCTACGAAAGACTCGTTCCTGGACACGATGACGATGCCTACCCAGTCCCAGAGTGTAGAAAGGATCCCTTGAATCCCAGGTCAACATTTATCAGCTGTGTGACCTGTGGCAAGTTGCTTAACCACTTTGTGCCTCGTTCTTCTCATCTGTAAGTTGGGGATACCATCAGTCCTGACATCATAAGGTCGTAATGAGAGTTTTGTAGTACACTTAGAACAGCGTCTGGCATATAGGTAAGTGCCAGGTGTGTGTGGGCACTAAGATGTGGTCCTTTTGTCCTCTACTAGACTGAGGGCAGCAGTTGAGGTTGTTCTGTGCTGGGTCCCCAGCCCACAGAAGGATTCCTTGAAGGAGCTCAAGAGATGTTATTTGGTAGGTGGATTGACAGGCAATAGAACACATGGTTGAATAAATTCAATTTATTAGAATTATTTGAATTCAGTTACCCTTTTCATTCAAAGATTTGAGGGGAAAAAACAGACATTTATGCATAGAATTTTCCTTTTAGACTCTATCAGGACAGATGTGACTATGGGAAGCTACTGGGTGTGAGCATTGGTGCTGTGTCCATTGCAATGTTGATGGAACAATGTTGGAGGGGCACCTGCCGTCCTGGGCTTCTCTTAGCCACATCCAAGGGTCCTAGAGCTTCTGGGAGCTTTTCTGAAGGTCACTCATCCCCTACCGGCAATAACAGCTACCATTAATTCAATTGCTTTTAGGTGCCACATGGCTCACATACATTACCTTTATCTTTACAGTAACCTCTAAGGTAGGTATTATTACCTTCACTTTTCAGATGAGGAAACAGGCTCACAGAAATCAGTTACTGGCCTAAAGCTACTTAGCCAGTAAGAGCAGTGCCAGGATTCATCCCGGCCAGTTTGATCTAAAGCCCGTGCTCAAGGTTTAGGAGGTAGAAGCTTGATATTTTTCCTAGGAATTGGGGGTGGTTACCTCTGGGAACATCTTCCCATGACTCCACAGCATTGCAAATGCCCAGTTATATTCAGGTAACTGGGAAGGACTAAGCTCCTCACCCAACTCCACCCTCAGGAGATCCTGTAACAATCATTACTCATAAAAAAGTTGGGGACCCCTGCCTAGCCAAGAAAGTCCTCATATATCAACCCAATGAGACCTGGGTAAATTCAATCAGCTGTGCAACGCTGAGCATCTCTCTTAGCCTCTCTGAGCCTGTTTCCTCTTCTGTAAACCGGAAGAGTAATAACTTCTCTCAGGTGTGAGGATGACATGAGATAAGGAAAGCAGAGCACGCCGCAAAGCACCAGGCATCAGAGGGCACCTAGTCCACGCTAGCCCTTCCTTCTCCACCCTGTTTCTCTTCTTTAAGACTCTCAGCAAAGTGATGCCACAATGAGGACTTGGCTTGGTCAGCCCATGTCAAAGCTCTGTGAGTTTTTCTCTCTGTGAAACTGGATGCAGCCAGGTTGCTGGGGAGCAACAGAGGTTTCCAAACTTGAGGCAGGGAGGATGGCATGGAAGGCAGTGTGAAGGGCTAAGCAGGCTCTGGGGCCCATGGACAGTACTCCCTCATTCAGTGCAGGCTAAGGGGCAAGTGGGGCCGGAATCCCGCCTACACGACACCCACCCAGAGCATGAAGCATTGTTTTCTAACCCAGCAAGGTGCCATGTGGGCTCATGGGCACAGGGCCTGGCTGCCCCTTCTCCCATCAACGTTGA